GTCTGGCCACTGGCCTATACGCGCTAACCAACTATGCGGGAATAGTTATGGGCACTCGACGCTGTGGTATCAGTCGAAGCCTTCTTGACGTCAGCGACTGAGCAGCGCGCGCCGGGTTGGACCGCATAATGCAACTTCCTTTGTAATGGAGGTTGCTAGGTCTGCTCACCGACCGCGTACGCAACGTGCAGGTGTGCAACGGGCGATGGGCCCAGACCCCTATGCGCATAGGATTTAGACCGGCGTGCTGACCTCTCTGTTAGGCCTAGGTGGGGCTGCGACGTGTTGATCTTCCGAGGTCGGGCATGACCCAGGAAAGTGTGTCCGGCTAGAGGGATCGAGCGTGTTGGGTAATTTTGTGCACCCATGCAGGGAAGTTTATTTATTCGAATAGTCGTGTCCCTCGGTAAAAGGACGACCCGGAGTTGTACCTTGACCTTATGACAACTAGAACCGGATACTTAATAAAACACACCCTTTCAAGTGCCAGATACAACCCGGTGATCACTTTCTCACAAGGCCGGCGAGGAGAGGGTCGCCGGGTAGGATTATGCTATGCGATGATACTTGATGAACTTACCATCTACTCTCTTCTACATGCTGCAAGATGGAGGCTGCCAGAAGCATAGTCTTCGATAGGACTAGCTATCCCCCTCTTATTCTGGCATTCTGCAGTTCAGTCCACCAATATTGCCCCTTTACACTGATACCCATGCATATGTAGTGTAGATCCTTGCTTGCAAGTACTTTGGATGAGTACTCACGGTTGCTTTTCTCCCTCTTTTCCCCCTTTCCATTCTTCTCGGTTGTCGCAACCAAATGCTAGAGCCCAGGAGTCAGACGCCACCTTCGACGACCCCTACTACACCGAGGGTGCCTACTGCTACGTTCAGGCCACCGACGACCATGAGTAGTTTAGGAGGATCCCAGTCAGGAGGCCGGCACCTCTTTCGATCTGTATCCTACTTTGTGCTAGCCATCTTATGGCACCTTGTTTAACTTTATGTCTGTACTCAGGTATTGTTGCTTCCGTTGACTCGTCTATGATCGAGCACTTGTATTCGAGCCCTCGAGGCCCCTGGCTTGTATTATGATGCTTGTATGACTTATTTTATTTTAGAGTTGTGTTGTGATATCTTCCTATGAGTCCTTGATCTTGATCGTACATGTTTGCGTGTATGATTAGTGTATGATTGAAACGGGGGCGTCACACACGCCTTCATCTGTCTGCCCGTTTCTATTCTTCTTCCTCGTCGCAAACAGTTAATTGAACTGAACTGTATGCCCTGCATCACACACGCAACTAAAATTTGAACCGTGTTTGATGGCTCCACCATCGCAAATGTTTTCCATATTTTTTGACGGGTTTTTTACATCATCGTTTGCGATTAATGCATCGCACACAGTTTCGTCAAAGGGTCTCTGATCGTAGTGTTGCGTTAGCAGCATCCTGCAGTAGTGTATGTTGTTTTAATAGTCTATTCAACCCATCCCCCTCCCTAAATACAAATGAACATACAAGAGGAAACGCTAGCAGTAAGCAAGGCCAGACATGTTGCTAGACTACCCCTAAATCATCCGAGAACGGACTGTAAGGGAGAGAACACGGTTAACTCCAAGCGCTTGCGGACCTCCCTCCCGACCCCGAGCTCCCTCCTTCCCCTAGGGTTCCTGCGCCGTCGCCGGCGGCTCCCCCGCACGGAGCCGCGGCCGGAGCCCGTCGGAGCCCGTCGTCGCCGCGTGCCTCTCCCACTCCCCCCGCCCCTCCCCCCTTCCCCGTACCCCCCGCGTCGCCTCCCCGGGCGAGGCGGCCGGGGGGCCCTTCTGCCGCTCCCCTTCAGGCTCTCTCCTCGCATCTCCTTCCTCCCGCCGCCGCCAGCGAGCGCCGCCGGGCCTCGGCCGCGTGGTGCTGGCGGTGACGAGCCTGCCCTTCCCCGCGCACAGCC